TCGGGCTCTGACCTTCATCCGAAAGCACCAGTCCAGCATCGTCGACGACAATGTTCACTACGAAATTGCTATACAACATCGCGTCCAGCTACGAAGAGTGCATGAGTGCTCTGAACGCGACCGGGCAACCAATCTACGTGGGCGAATCAGGTGAGGCCAGCACTTTTTCAAGTGCTTTTTCGCTGTCGACCAAACACTACGGCGTTTCAGGCGGAACGCGATGGTGTAACGCCACCTGGGACTCTATTCTCTGCTGGCCAGCGATTCCCGGAAATTCCAGTTATAGTCTACCGTGTCCTCCAATGAAAGGATTAGTCATTGAAAGTAAGTCTTGTGCGATTTTTTTTTATTTTTCGAATTTTTCGAATTTGCTACCTCGGTGCTTCAGATCACCTGAATAACAATTGGAGGTGTAGAAATGAGTAAGGATTTTCAGATGAGCTGTTCGCGCATCATCCTCATAGTCCTTTACGTCTTGTATCTGTGTTGAACGCTATGCGCATAGAAACTCGTGAGTTTTCTCCTATATTTATAACGTGTTTCGTTTTCCTAACTCACGGAATGGTCCAGCTTTGCCGGACATGATTTGTTCTGCTCGATGCCCTTTGCTCGACCGAAGCTATGACGACAGATGCTTTCTCTGATGACCCTCGGATTCCACCGCTAAAATTCAATGTTGAAGACCTCGGGCAGAACTGGAAACAGACTGACAAAGCCTCGATCGTTGACCCCGGTTCTCCGTGTTTGATGTCGGAGTTTGCGTGCAGTCACAAGAAAAAGTGCATGTCGTGTGGCCATTTTTCATCATTCGATCAATCATCGGTTTGAGATTAGACAAAAATAGCGCTCAGCCAGAAAGCCATTCTTCTGCCTTCAAAACGATCCTTCAATTAGCGACTGAAAAGTTTCATAGCATTCAATCTCCGGCTGACTAATGAACCGCCAAGGTCCAGTTTTGGAATACGCTCGTTCCGCTATTTCAATAACAGTCGCTTAGAACGCTTGGAAAATCTACAAAAACGTGTTGTTTTCTGCCTTGTTGCTGGTTAGCAGCAGCTTCCGGAGATATTGATCATATGACTTCTGTCAAAGTTGTATTTTATGAAACTGAGTCAAATTTTTTAGACACTCATTTTGTTTGAGTCACAATAACGCTTCTGGCATGCCAGCTACTTTATAGCGCCTTTTCTGCCATGAAGGATACCACTGTGCAGTATTGCTACTGTAACGTATAGCTGTTCCATGACCAAAGCTCAGGGCGTATTGCACCGGCTCCTTGTTTCTAGTTGCTTAGGTGCCACTGCTTCATGGTCTGAGTTTGAGTTACCGTAGTGCGAGATACATCTTCTATTTATTTGTTCGCCAGGGTCACTCTGTGGTTGATACTAACTATGATTCAGCAGCTGGTTCACTCTTTTTATGTCACCGGATAAGCATAATAATGTTTGTAGCGGGAGTGTCAACTAACCCCTGACTCCGACTTACGTTCACGGCTTACTCTACTACCTCCCCCCCCCCACTCTCTTTGCTCCTAGCTGTATGAGTAGTGATTAGGGGGAGGGGGGCATTTGGGCATTCCATGGCTCATTGATATTTGCCAATTGGTCATATTTCATTAAAGATGCGTAATTTCGTTGCCTTACATGGCATTATTGCACTACTCCTTACAGCTAGAGGTCTGCTGATCCATGGCAGATGGCATGTTTTCATTCAGTCACGCCGAAAGATGATGCGAAATATATGCATCCACAAAACACCAGGTATATGTGTTCGTACTGTGAGTGTGCAATAGTATGCATATTACATCGCTTTTAGAAAATGCATTTATTAAGTGGCAGGTATTGCGCTAGTTCATACTATGGTACGATTTGCATGCAGCATTATAACTGCTAGTACTGTTTTAGTTTCCTCAAGACACCTGGATTCAAAATGAACACACACTGTGTAGTGAAATCTGATTTTATATGATTCATGCATTTACGTGGATAAATATGTATAAATCCTCGTCTGAAGCAACCGCAATTCTTCCTGGTCCGTTTTGCTGTGCAGAGGTTAAAAATCACTCTTCCCTCAAATAAGCGTTGCACCTTTATGTGTATCTCGCAGCAGCTTTGTCTGCTGCTGAAACATCGTTGGAAACGACACTGCTGAACGCTTAGCTGGGTCACAA